GTTAAACGTCAATGCAATACGTAAATACATTTCAGCATAACCATTTAACAAATTAAACACAACCCATTCAGTTTATTTTATGTGTATTTCTCCTGTTCTTAACGTACAGAGCTACACGCAAGACGCAACAGACTTTATCTAAAGCATTCTGCTACATTTTTCTGTTGTCTTGTATTATCATTAAACTTATCGGCGATTGTACTTCAATGGGAGTCACACAAAACCACTAAAAACCCGAGAAAAATGTGGTACGAAAAACAAACAAACCATGTAAATTTCTGTACGTTTAGTTTGCATTTCATATACGCGGATACATGCGTTGTTAATCTCTGTGATTGCATCGCCAATTTCTTAAGTTTATGGACCCAATTATAGTTTTTACTTTTACGCAGAGGAGTTATAAAGAGTAACAAAGATCATAGCTTTTGATTTCTTTTACTCACCACAATTCTAACTAAAATATACCAAAGCTAAGTGCATTCAGTTACCCTTTCGCAACTGTTGTGTATTGGTTTGATTTGATTTCGTATGGAGAGACTCGGGTTAGAACTGATTAAATTATTGAGATATCGGAAATCAGAGCTGTGTTAAGTTGTAACTGGGTGTTGGTTATTGAATTAATCAGAAATTATGTCACCGTTTCTCATCATCAAGATCCCATATCGGATAAGCTCAGATTTGACCGTTGGAGGTTGTTTCAAGTCGGTTTCGTTACCTGAGATTCTGTTGCGTGAGAGATTTCTATGTCATATTTGCTTCGTGAAATACATGGCAACTGTCAAGTGTAAGATTATCTCTGTAAACAAAACAATATTGAAAACGAAGTCCACGTACAGACCTGATGCGAAGTGGGCTATGTATGTATTGCGTTTTTCTCGGACTCATGGACTGATTACATTTTTTTTCTTTCCATTTTTATAGAAAATTGTAAATACTGATGAGTTGATTTGATAATGGAACAAATCTTGAGTTTAGCATCAAATTATGGTTTTCGGTTTTTAACTTTTTATACGTGAGAGAAGAGAGAGAGAGAGACTTTGATGATGTATCATGTATGCTAGTTGTTTTTTTTTTTTTTTTTTTGTGGTTGATGTGTGCTAGTTGATAAATAATGTACATGTTTACTATAATTTATTTTTTATTTTATTTCTTTTAATTACTATGAGGTTCTGGGCCCGTACATTCCCTAGGCCCGGAACCACATCATGTAATATTAATTTCGTCCCAAGGGATACTCAACGTGACCTCTAAACTTTGCCTAGGGTCCCTTTACCAGGACTTGGTATATTTACTATACTTACCATACACTTTATATATAAGTAAGTACCAATTATATAAAGTTTAATCAGTTTTTTAAAGGATAGCGGGTTAATGTAGGTTTTATTAGATTTATCCAATTTTTTTCGGGATTATAAGATTTTATTTGTATGATAATTATTAAAGCGATTATACTTATGACTTATCTCATAAATGCTTAGCACCTGTCACATGATGATAGAATATCTCTATAATCAAACCTCTATGCAGTAACTGATCCTGATCGATAGTAATTCAACAAATTAAAATAACATAAAACATATGGCAGAGTACAATATAACATAAAACGTATGTTGAAGGGAAAAGAAAACTTGGAAATAGTTAAGTTCGACCCTTAGGACAAAAAAAACTAAATAGAGATGCCATTGATCATAGAGAGGAGCCTGGCGTGAAAATAAATCCAAAAAAAAGAAGGCACCAATGGACACGAGACCGTGCCACAGAGTTGACCTATCAGGCGTCCGGAGAAACCGATATGTAATCCAAAAATCAAGGTGCAGCGTGCGTGTTGAATTTCCATAGGAGAATTGAGATGGAACATGGCAAACCCAAAAGCGAACATGGAATAGATGTAGACCAAGACCTCCACAGTTGGGTAATTGAAGGAGATGTAATAAATGGCTGTCATAGGAATGAGGGAGAAGAGCGTTCTTGTACCAGGTAAAGGAGGCTCATGTTCCTTGTAGATGCGAATAGTGGTCGGGAAGTGTAACATTAGAAACATCACCACATACAAGGTTGTGCCACCGATGCTCGCGTATTGCAAGGAACACGATGAAGGACACAGCCTAGAGTGATATATAGATGCCTAATAACGACACTGTCGCTATTATCTTATAGCACAATCCTTCCATCTCCGACTCACTATATTTTTTTTTTATGTTTGTTGCTAAGAAGAACGAGCTAGAAGAGAATATACATATTTATATATCGCTTTAACTAGGGTTTTGTTTTTATCCCTTTTTATTAGTATTTGTTGGTTTAGTGTTATCGTATCATATCTTTTGTGTTTATCTATTACTATTATTTTTGTTGGCATATCTTTCTTTATTTTTTAACGATGACATATCTTTATTTTGTGAAAACATATGCACTTTTGTTAGTTACCAAATTAGTTTCTAGGATATGCTTCAAATGTTAATGTGGACCCATTATTGAGTGATATTTTCCAATATTCAACACTTGTTACCAAAAAAAAGAAAAGAAAATCTCTGTTACTTGTCTCACCTCTTTTGTCGTAATTATTTCAACTCTCTTTTCGAACTCAACGTAATCGGCAATTTCGTAAGTTTAGTTGCGTATGAGGATTTTCAAATTCATTCGAATATTTGCGCGAAACTAGATAAATGCATCAACTTTTACAACCTCCTGTGTAACAAGTTTGTACGTAGTAGAAAAAGCTACTTTCTTAAAATTTCAAAGAGAATTAAAGCAATGATCAGAGATGGATAATTTGAAAAGTCCCATCGAGCGATCGAAGAAGGTCCGTACACGGTAAGTTCCCTGCAAGAATTCATGGAACGGTTGGTTTACTCTGGTATTGCCAACAATCTAATCACTTACTTCACCACTAAATTGCATGAGACAAATGTTTTTGGGGCTAAGCACGTCATGATATGGCAAGGGACGTGTTATTTTACTCTTCTCATCGGAGCTCTAATAGTTGATGATGCTTACTGGGGAAGTTACTGGACAGTTGCTTGATTATCTGCTATATATTTTATTGTAAACTGTTTCCGACTTTGCAATTGTATTGTTCTGATCCTGTTCTTTTACTTGATTGATGATGTTCTGTGCTTTATTTTATTTTGTTGATAGAACATAAGATTCCACTCTTGTTTCATCACTTTCACAAACCCTGAAACTCCGTTTTATCATTTTCATGGGATTAAAATTATTTTGTTCTCTCATGCTTACAAATCTTTGAAATTTTTGTTTTAGTTTTTTGATCCATTTCTGTTTCATAAAAAAACAAAAAACCTCATTGATGGAAACATATGCAAATTTATCTTTAAATTTTCATATGGAAACATTATGTGTTTGTGATCCATTATCTACCTCGTTTCTTGTAGAGTGTATATAAGTGTAAAACATTAACACACTTATGCATCGGAGTTTCACAAAGAGAGACAGTACGTATACCAACACATGCAGTAAATCTTGGGCTGAAATCTTTAGTAGTAATTTGCTCAAGAACTGCAAAAACGAGACATATTAGTTTTCAGGATTTTCATAATTTTCAGGATTTTTTCCTTGTCACAAATTCATTTGAATATTTGCGCGAATCGAGAATCATGCTGTTTCAAGTTCAACTCGGAGTGTATACTGCTAAAGGTGAGGGACGTAAACTATTTGACTATTAAATATTTTTCTACTTAACTACCACAAGAAATATGTAAGTAGGTCATTTGGCAAGTGGTAAGCTCTGTTTGATTATGAGATCTATGGATCGACGCGTCTCTAATCCCGCTATGCTTTTTAGAATTCTCCAGTTTGTACGATTTTTTTTTTTTTTTTTTTTTTTTTTTTTTTTTTTGGCATTTTGCCAATTTTCATTTTCTGTAGCTACATCTCATTTTGTTTGTGGATATCTCCCATCATATTCTTTGTTTGAATTATTTATTCACCATAATACATTATTGAATTTGCGAGTAATACTAGTAACAGATTATATTTAACTTACTAAAGTAAATCATTTTTATAAATCTTGGAATTCGGAGCCAATGATTAAATAACAGAGGAGACTTAAATCAATTATTTGTTTGTTTTTAGATTATACAGTGAGCCCTTTTTGCAAAAAATAAAATAAATACTAGTATATAGTTAATAGTGTCAGTTATGTAACTAACCAAATCGGTTGTTGACGTGGATAACCGAATTGTCCCACGAATTGTCCCTAAATGGTGAACAGTGGAGTATATAAATACAAGAGTTTCTTAATCTTTCTTCTAGAATCAAACTTCCCAGAAAATCGTAGCAATGTTTCAATTTCAGTTCTGAATCTTTCTTCTGCGAGCGTTTGATACAGAGCAAACTCTCTCCTATTCTTCTTCAGATTTGGTAAGCAAGATTATAAACTCTATCTCTCTTTCTTCATCTTCTCATTCGTTTCTTCCTCAATTTTACCGAGAAAATTTTCATTCTGTAACAGAGAGATCATCACCGATAGTTTGATCCAGCGTTTGATTTGTCGATTTGGTTCAAACCTGAAGAGATACAAGCGAAGATCAAGATCATAAACTGTATCTCTATCTCTCTCTACTTCAGTTTTCCGTAAGCAAGATCATAAACTCTCTCTTGTTCATGTTTACTTTCACCTTCTTCTCCAATTCTACTCATAAACTTTTCGTTCTGTAACAGAGATCACCTTCAGTTCCATTTCTTCTTCGAGTTTGATCGAGCTTTTGTTTGACAACCACTGCTTTTTGCGTAAGTCTCTATTCATCTTTTCTCTTTCGTCGTCGTCTTGTTCAATTTCACCCAGAAATTTTTCATTTTACATCAATTTCTGTTCCAAGCTTTTCTTCTGCGATTTTGATTGGACGAATTGGTTCGAAACTGAATAGATACGAGTGATTTCCGTTCTCAGCTTCTCGCATTCATCTTTCTCTTTCGTCTTCTTCGTTCTTCTTTCTTTAATTTCCCCAGAAACTGATTTCCTCTGAGTTCCTCACAGATTAACAATGGCGATAACTGAATTTGTCACCAAAATCCGTCAGTTCTATTCGCCAATCCAAGCCTGGATCTGGCTCTTACTCGCCGTCCTTTCTACTGTGTGGTCCACCAAGATTTCCTCTTATCCCTGGACGAAAGCCAAACTTACCGTCGCCGTCCTCGCCGTGATTCCGAGCTGTGCTCCACAAGCTCCGATCAACATACGGCATCATTTGCGGCAAGACGTTTACTGCATCGTCAAAACTCTGTGTTCCCTACTCTTCTTCAACGTCTTCAAACTCCTCGCCGATGCTATGACCGTCGCCGATGACATTTGGATCTGTGCCGCCGCCGTGTGTTTCTTCCTGTACATCCTAGCCGTTGATGTGAAGCTAGGAGTAGAGGACGATCTCGGATTCCTCGACGGTCTGCTCTTCGCTGTCTACAGTACTTTCCTAAACGACTTTCTTCAGAAACCGGCGGACGAAAGGCGGTTCTTCACCTCCTCCGGCGTTCGATTTCCGGCGTGGCTCCTCCACTGTGTTTTCGCTCTTCTGTTGTTGTTCAAGAACCTTAGAGCCGGCGTGCCTGATCCAGCAGACAATCTCGCCATCGTCGTCAACGAGTACCGCATCGCCGCCGCGGCTCCGAATACAGTCGTCCAACGTCCTGCCGCCGTCGAACGTCGCGCCGCCGTCGAACGTGCACGAAACCCTAAGATTTTGAGATGGGCTTTGTTGGGTTTGTACGTAGTTTCTACAATTCTAATGGGCCGGCCCAGTCTGTGGTAAGAAGTTACGTGGTAAAAATAGTTTGTATATAGAAAAAGAAAACATAGTAAAAACAAATAGAGTTTGTAAATAAAATCGACAAAAAAAAAGTTGTAAATAAAAAAAAAGGAAAGTGTTTTCTTTTTGAGGCGTATATTTTTTTATTATGTTGTCATGATTCCATTTCTTAAAAGTAAAATTTTATCTCTGATAAATGACTTAATACAGGAATATAAACGTTCTTCGACAAAAAAAAAAAAAAAAAAAAAGTCTCAAGTCTTTCTCTATAATCCGTCTTCTTCAAAGCTTCGTACGATATCCATCAATGGCGAAGGAATTGGCGGATAAAGCTAAAGAGGCTTTCTTAGATGACGATTTCGATGTGGCTGTTGACTTATACTCGAAAGCCATTGACTTGGACCCCAATTGCGCCGCCTTCTTCGCCGATCGTGCTCAGGCCAACATCAAAATCGATAACTTCACTGGTAATACCCTTCGTTCCCTAAACCACCCAAAATTCGTAAATCAATTTCAATTTGAACCATTATTTGGCGGTGGGGCTCTGGGGTTTTTGTCTTCTCGTTACGTAATTCGATCTGTTCATAGCGGAACCAGTTTTTGAATTAGTTATCGGTTTAGTTCAGTTTTAGGGTTCTTTTGCGACTTTGTGTTGCCTTTGATTCGAATAGCAAAACTTATTGGAGGGTTTCCACTCAATTGATGGTAGTTTCTTTGTATCATGTAACCTTCTTTGCTCGTTATCTATATTTTGCCAGCAATTTGATGTTCCTGTGTTTATCCTTTGATCTTTGGGAAACGAATTGACTCACTTTCTTTGAAGAAGGGTTTGCTTATTTGGTTCTCATTAGTGAGTAATCTTTTTAGTTCAGTTTTAGGGTTCTTTTGCAAGGTTGTGTTACCTTTGACTCGGATAGCAAAACTTATTTGATGGTAGTTCCTTTGTTTCATGTAACCTTCTTTGCTCGTTGTTTATAGTTTGCCATCAATTTAATGTTCCTGTGTTTATTATCTTGCTTATCTTTGGGAAACGAATTGATCTCACTCTTCATGTCGATCTTATTTGAGTTGAATTTTTGGTTCTCATTAGTGAGTAATCTTTGGACTTTGGAATATTTAACCATTCTTGTTTGAGTTATCAGTATACAAAGGTTGAATTGTTGTGCTCCTTATGCATCTTCTTCCCCAATTTTCGACTGAATTGATGTTAGATTCTTTGATCTGAATATATTTATCTTTTGTGCTTCTCTATGAGCAGAAGCTGTTGCAGATGCGAACAAAGCCATCGAGTTGGAACCTACACTGGCAAAAGCGTACCTCAGAAAGGGGTATGATATAGTCATTGTCTCTCTGTACTAAAGTTTAATGACGCTTTGATAACATATTCGAGTTTGATTAGAATCATAACTTTATACTATACTGTGTTTTCAGAACTGCATGTATGAAGCTAGAAGAGTATAGTACTGCTAAAGCAGCTCTAGAAAAGGGCGCTTCTGTTGCACCTAATGAATCCAAGTTTAAGAAGATGTTAGATGAATGCAATCTTCGCATTGCAGGTATTACATAAACTCCTAAACGATTCCTCAGTATTTTGTCTGCATCTAGAGCTTAGATTGATGATATAGTCTTTTTTTTTATCTCTGTTCAGAAGAAGAGAAGGATTTGGCTCAACAGATTCCACCGACTTTGCCTTCAAGCTCTGCAACGCCACTAGCAACGGCAGCTGATGTTCCTCCTGTTCCAACTCCTGCTGCACCTGCCAAACCGATGTTCAGGTAGTCTAGTTATCAAAAATATTCTTTCTTATCTTAATTTGCCGAATCATTTGTATATCTGAAACTCGGTGGTTCAACAGACACGAGTTCTATCAGAAGCCGGAAGAAGTGGTGGTGACAATCTTCGCTAAAGGAATACCAAAGGAGAACGTAACAGTCGAGTTTGGTGACCAGATTGTGAGTAACTTTTTACCTTAACCTATCTCGCTTTGTAATCTGATATTGTGTGTACTGATTTGAGATATCTATCTGGGATTGTTGTGCAGCTGAGTGTTGTGATTGATGTTGCTGGAGAGGAAGCTTATCATTTCCAGCCAAGATTGTTCGGGAAGGTATATCTATTTGACAAATGAAATTGTTTGTGGTGCTTTCATACATGGTTTTACTGAATCATTCATGTGTATTATTTTCAGATAGTTCCAGAGAAGTGCAAATATGAAGTATTGGGAACCAAAGTTGAGATCCGTCTCGCCAAAGCAGAGATAATAACTTGGGCCTCCCTTGAATACGGCAAAGGGCAAGCTATTCTGCCTAAACCCAATCTTGCATCAGGTTTGTTATTACCCTGAAACCTTTTTGCTTCAGTTCATCTCAGAAGTTACCATCCAAGATGGTCTCTGCTCATGTAATTGTGTGTTGATATGCAGCGGTGGTGTCGCAGAGGCCAGTGTATCCATCTTCTAAGCCAGGAAAAGACTGGGACAAGCTGGAAGCTGAAGTGAAGAAACAGGTTCCTCTTTCAACTCCAGAGGCTTTTACTTAAAACTCTGCCTGTGTTGTTTCTATGCTTATCTCTTTTTGAATGTTGCAGGAGAAGGATGAGAAGCTAGATGGAGATGCAGCTATGAACAAGTTTTTCAGCGATATATACCAGAGTGCTGATGAGGACATGAGGCGAGCCATGAACAAATCATTTGTGAGTAGCACAAAGCAATCCAATCTCTCTTTTAAGTCTTCCCATACTTCTCTTTTTGTCCTTTTGACTGATGGTTTTCGATTTGATGACAGGCTGAGTCAAACGGGACAGTACTGTCTACAAACTGGAAAGAAGTTGGAACCAAGAAAGTGGAGAGCACTCCACCAGATGGTATGGAGCTCAAGAAATGGGAGTACTGATCTTCTTTTAATTCGCCTTTTTCTTGTTTTTTGTCGAAAATTCGGACAAATCTTTGAACTTAAGTTTCTTTTGGTTTTTGCGCCTAAACTCGGGTGGCTTTTGTGTTCTGTACTTTTCCATTGCTCGAGATAGTTTTTTCAGAACGTTTCATGACAATCTTGCGTTGTGATCTTAAACTTAGATGTATAAACCCAACTTTTCAGTTCAAAAATGCTTCTCTTTTTTTTTCTTGTTAAAGAGCCTCAAATGCTGTGACTTTTACAAAACAATATCCTTCAATCAAAACAATCTAACAAAACAAAATGTCTGCCTCAATCACCTAAATTGACTTTCAAAAAACCGAACCCATCAGCTTCACTCTTTTCTTGATTCCTCTTCCATTGATAATGAAGAAGACTTAACCACCACCTCTTCCACCCTAAAAGAAAAAAGCCTTAACATATCAACCTGAAATCTATCTATCTATATTGCATAAATCGATTAACCAGAATATGAGGGAGAGTGTTTCAACCTTCTGAGGTGGGGTTCCTGGTCTAGGAACATTGTTGTTGAACCCAAATCTTCCTTTCTTCTCAGTAGCTGACTTGAGGATTTGGAATGAACACGTCAAGCTATCATCAACACTCATCATTGCGCCAGCATTGTCAAACTCACCACAGTAATTGGGTGCAGAGAATATCGTCACCAGCTGTCTCTTTGCAAAGAACTCATATCCATCTTCCACTACCTGCAACATCATTAGCCACAAATCCCATTTAGCCACAAAGAATCAAAGATATAAGCCTAATCATCATGAGTCTTTGTGTGACTATTGTTGATGGACACTTTATCTTAATGGAATCAAAGGGTTAAATACTATAACCCTTTTCTTGCACTAGTGATGGTTTAGCATTTACCTGATGAGCTCGGCAAATAAGATCAAGGTCATGAGTTTGAAGAAACTCAGCAACTTTGTCAGGGCCAAAAGTATAAGAGACACCTCTATCATTCTCCGCCCAGCCTAGAATGTCTTTGTCAGGATCAGCCCACAACAGATCACAAAGAACACCCTCATCAGGAACATCAATAGGACGAGGAATCCTCCTTATGTCATCCAAGCTCTTCAGATAAGGCGATAGCCCGCCGTGCATACAGAGGATCTTGTCGTCGATGAGAGCAGCAACAGGGAGACAGTTGAAGCAGTCGGTGAAACTCTTCCACAGCTTAACATTGTATCTCTTTTTGCATTCGTCGTAGAATCCGTACACACGGTTGATGGAGGCACACTCGTGGTTGCCTCTCAGGAGGAAGAAGTTGAGCTTGTACTTGATCTTGTAGGCAAGAAGAAGACATATCGTCTCTATGCTCTGCTTGCCACGGTCAACGTAGTCTCCGAGGAACAAGTAGTTCGCCGCCGGCGGGTATCCACCGTACTCAAACAGCCGCAAGAGGTCCGGAAACTGACCGTGAACATCTCCTGCTCAAGTAAGCAAATCAATTAGATATCAAGTGAAGCTTTTAAGCTATTGTCATGCTAAGATTCCAGTTTCCGGTTAAGTAACGGAGCTAAGACTCACAAATTCAATTCTTCACTACTCAAATCAGAGCAATTAGCTAATTAACAACATACCCAGAGTCAAATGATTCTCAATGTGAGGCTAAATCTCAAAAAACCTAAGCTTTGTTGAGTGAATTTACCGCAGATTTTGATAGGAGCCTCGAGCTCGAGGAGATTAGGCTGGCTGAGAAAAACCTCCTTCGAAGCGGAGCAGAGCTGCCGTATCTCCGCTTCAAGTAGATTTACCGGCTTCACCGTCCTCCCAGTACTCTTCGCCAAAAGCCGATGGATAATATCGTCCAGTAGATTCTCGTCCATCGTAGCAACAAACCAAAAACCCGAAACCCCTCTCTTTCTCTGTTTTGATTGAGGATTACAAAGTAGAAATCAAACCGAATAGAATCACGGAGAAGAGAATCTGTGATTGGAACAGTGTAAGCTCTGCCGAATCCAGAGAAATCCGACGATTTTTTAATTAACCGCCGGCGTCTCTGGGTTCGTGTCGTTGACGGAGACGATACAGAGAGAGTTAAGTAGGTAAAGTGGAGAGGAGGCCCAATTTCATAAACCCTAATTTTAGTAAACGCGGTAATTTCATCCAAACTCAGAGGAGCGGAGTAGTGGTTCCTGCACGTGACAAGTCCTCGTTCACACGTGCGAGGTTTGAAAAGTATGACCGTTGATGCGTTTCGAAAATTTACGGGACTTAAAAGTTTCTTTTCAGTTTTAATTATAGATGCAAATGAACATAAGTCTTTTTCAGAAATATAATGTTCTTTGATGTTGAGAGACTTTTGGTCACCGTTTAATGCTTTGCGAGTTTTGGTAATGTTATTCTTTTCATAAAACAGCTATATTTGTAGACCAAGTCTTCCTATAAAACAAATATTTTTTGCATTGTGTCATATCACCAACCCAAAAATTCCAGAAGGGGATTTTTGTGAGCTCGGAGGTGTTGTTTGATTTGTTGAAAGAAGATAATTTGTTTGATAAAAAATGTCAGCTCAAAGTATTTGGTTTCATGTACCTCTGATGTCTGGCCAGTTTGTTTGATTTGTAACAGTATAAATTATAAAATTAAGAATCGTTTGAGACAATGAAAACAAGAAAGGCAGTAACAAATGTAGCCAATTTGGTTGTGTGTGAAATAAGCCTTCACCAAATTTTAAAGTGTAGCTGAAAGTACATATGACTATTTTCTCTACTACACGTTATTTTTTTACACACAATAGAAAATTACCTGATATTTCTACTTTTTTTTTACAAACAATGCTTTTAAAAATAAAATAAAAATTTGTTCAACCAGTCAGTAAATTACTAATTTCTTTCACCGTTCCTTTTGGCCAGCACAGGAGACAAAATCTTTTCTATTCTTAAAAATTCAAAAAATCGTATTTATTCCCCTCGTCTCCCTCCCTCGCGTCTTCTCTCCTCCAACAGAATCGAAATGTCAATGTCATTTTCCTACGAGACTCACGACGATCGGTGGGGCTCCGATTTGGCTTCCTCCGGAGAATTCACCCGTAGCTTTCCATCTTTACCGGCGAATTTCTCACCGGCCTCCGGCGAGGAGCTCGTAGAAGTGACGAGTGAATTCCCAAGCGGCGCACTAGTAAACATCGACTCCGTTACCGGCACAGATGTCTCCGGAACGGATCCTGAGATCACCTCTTGCTCGGCTTCCGATTCAGGATCAAGGGAGTGGAGCGCGTCTTCGAGTCGTCGGGAGTACCAGGTGGTGGCTAACGCAAAACAGTTCTCGAGAGATTTGAAACGGAAGCTTCAAAGGATCTCACTGCGAGATGGCGGATACTCGTCTCGATCTGCACCGGAGACGGCGGTTCCGGGCGGAGGCGAAATTACCGATCCGGCTAGTCTGGTTCGCTCGTTAACCCAGAGATTCACTAAGCCTAATCGGAATGGATCGTGTACGCAGAGAGCGATTCACGGTTTGAGATTCATCAGCAGCAAAGAAAACGGAATCGCTGGGTGGAGAGAAGTTCAAACCAAATTCGCTAACCTTTCCAAAGACGGTCATCTTTGTCGAAGTGATTTTGCTCATTGCATTGGTTCGACGATTTCACGTTTTGTCAATTGAATATTTTTACTATTGGAGATTGTGAATTTTGGTTGACATTTGTTGTTTTGTGTTTTTTGTTTTTGTTGTTGAAAGGGATGGAAAAAGAAAATTCGAAAGAGTTTGCAGAGGAGTTGTTCGACGCATTGTGCAGGAGAAGAAGATTAATGGTAGACAAGATCACCATTCAAGAACTATATGAGTTTTGGTACCTAATTACAGACGAAAGCTTCGATTCTCGGCTGCAAATCTTCTTCAACATGTATTTTATCATCATTTTGAATATGTTATTAACATACTGAGTAAATTCTTCAACATGAGTTAAGTTCTTGATTTACTTGTTGCAGGGTGAACAAAAATGGAGATGGTAGAATTACAGAGAACGAAGTCAAAGAGGTAACTTTTTTTTTGTTCGTTTCGTTTTAGAGGTGACTTAGGTTCCATCTTCCATATAATCAGTATTGAGTCGTTGACTACGTGAACATTCAAGCGTAAGCAAAACTTAAGGTCATAGGATTTATGAGTAATCATAAAGTGTCATACTTGTGTCCCATTATCTTTCCTTTTAGTTGAATATCTCTATTATTATATGACCATGTTGATGATATTTTAGTGCTAAACGTTATTTGTTCTTGGTTGGCTTTTGTTGGTCTTGATATGATTCTTTAACATGTCGACTCCCTTCTAAGTTCTAACCAATGCAAGAACAGAAAAATGAAGTTGCATTTTTTTTTTCTGATTGACCTTGTATAAAGAAGCTTTTCTAACGACCAACCAAAAAAAAAAAAAAATAATTATATTCTACAACTACTAAGTTTACGTTGAATCTTTCTAGTAGAAGCTTCTATATTTGGCATTAACTTTTTTTGTATGAATTTCCTTGATTTTGACAACCTTTTAGATAATTATACTAAGTGCGTCGGCAAATAATCTATCAAGGTTGAGAGAACGAGCAGAAGAATATGCAGCGTTGATCATGGAAGAACTGTCCCCTGATGGGCTCCAATCTCAGTACATAGAGGTGCTTCCATTACTTACATCTCCAATACTGTGAAAGGTCATAGCACAAAACATGCTTAAATACCACTAAGTAATTGGATTTAGTGTGGAGATCAGTCCCTTTCTTTGAGAGAGAGTAGAAGGGTTCTTAGTTGGGTTGACCTTAGTAATTGATGACGCTGAGCCTTTACTTTTCAAGTTTTGTGATAATGACATTTGACTGAGTCAACAAACCAATGAGCTTAAAGCTAAGTGCTAGCAAGTTTGTTTTTGTATGGAATTATAAGTTGACGAAAACAAACAAGTTGAGGTTTATAATAGAGGTTTAACCTGATACAGTGGAGTTTCACTATATGATTAGGATTTTAAAATCATTTGCTTGAATACATTTTCCCTGTCTGAGACTGACACAAGATTTGGTAGTAGAATACTTATATGAACACTTAGAAGTATCAGTCCAAGGAACTCTGTTCAACATTTTGAAGTGATGTCTCTGTTATTGATATGAATGATCAGTTAAAGGATCTAGAGATGCTATTACTACACAAGGACACACCTCATGGTTACAGCCAACCGTACAGCCAAACAAGCAGAGCCTTAAGCCAAAACCTAAAGGATACAAGATGGGGAACAAGCAGGAACTTGATATACTCTTTTCAAGACAACTGGAAGAGGATTTGGGTTATGACACTATGGTTACTGATCATGGCCGGTTTGTTCATGTGGAAATGCGCTCAGTACAAACGCAAAGAAGCATTCCATGTAATGGGTTACTGCCTTGTCGTGGCCAAAGGAGCAGCTGAGACTCTGAAATTCAACATGGCTCTTATCCTTTTGCCTGTATGCAGAATCACCATCACCTATCTCAGATCAACCGCTTTGTCCTACTCAGTGCCTTTTGATGACAGTATCAACTTTCACAAGGTTACTTAAACAAAACAAACAAAAAAAACATTTTCTCTATACCCTTAATATATATATGCTTCAGCTTTTCGGTTTTGGTTATGCGCAGACGATCTCTGTAGCAATCTTCATTGGAATGGTTATCCATGCAGCTAGCCACCTCGCCTGTGATTTCCCGAGGATTGTAACAGCTACAGATGCTGAGTACAAAAGCCACTTGGCTCATTACTTTGGTGTGACCAGACCAACATACTTAGACTTGGTTAAAGATCCTGTGGGAATCACTGGGTTTATAATGGTTATTTTCATGGTGATTGCATTCACTTTTGCCAGTCGAAGATGCAGGCGTAACCTTACTAAGTTGCCAAAGCCATTTGACAAGCTAACCGGATATAATGCTTTCTGGTATTCACATCACTTGCTTCTAACTGTTTACGTCCTCTTAATCATCCATGGTGTTTCCCTCTATCTCGAGCAGAAGTGGTACCGCAAGACGGTAACATTGCATAAAACTCTTTACCGTTTTGACTTTCTGCGGTCTTAAATAATTAGTGATAAGATCATAAGAACAGATTCTGGTCCTCTGCAGATATGGATGTATCTTGCTGTACCGGTTTTACTCTATGCTGGAGAAAGGTTCCTAAGATTCTTTCGTTCCAGGCTTTACACCGTCGAAATCTGCAAGGTAAAAGTCTCGTTCACAGTTACATTTTTAGAATACAATCACATGACAGAACACAGTGAAGACCATCTTTGGTAATCTTGTATTATCTTAATATACTAAATTCAAATGATCTGGTTTCAGGTTGTAATTTATCCTGGAAACGTTGTTGTGCTACACATGTCTAAGCCTACATCATTTGATTACAAGAGTGGACAATACGTATTTGTTCAGTGTCCTGCAGTATCAAAATTTGAGTGGTGAGTCTTTTTATTCTTGGGCCAACACAAGCCTATAATAGCTTTTATTGCAATGTAAGAGTATATACCAATCATGTTCTTTGACAGCAAAATGATTAACTTAAACGCTTTTCTGTCGTAAAATCCATCTCCAGGCATCCATTTTCTATAACTTCTTCCCCTAGAGATGATTACATCAGCATTCACATTCGTCAGCTTGGTGACTGGACAGAAGGTATTAAGAAGGCATTCTCAGTGGTATGTCAAGCCCCTGAAGCTGGGAAAAGCGGACTTCTCAGAGCAGACGCACCAAACAGAAAAAGGTGTGAATTTTCACTATATTATCAACTTGCATCCTCAGAAATTTTGTTATAATCCACATTTGTGATATTTGATGTCCTCTCTTGTTATGTAAATTTAGTTTGCCAGAGCTGTTGATCGATGGACCTTATGGCTCACCAGCGCAAGACCATCGGAAGTATGATGTGTTATTACTCGTTGGCCTTGGAATTGGTGCAACACCTTTCATTAGCATTTTGAGAGATCTACTTAACAACATTATTAAGCAACATGAACAAGCTGTGAGTTTAAAATGAAGAAAACCCTGTATAGGATTAATAGAATGCAAACCAAACATTTTTCATGTTTGTGTTATGTTTATTCAGGAAGGACTCTCATCAGGTAGTTGTAGTAACAGCAATGTATCGTCGGATCACAGTTTCAGTTGCTTAAACTCGGAACATATGAATAGGTCTCCTCAAAATCAAAGGAAGACGTTGAAGACCAAGAACGCTTACTTTTACTGGGTAACACGAGAACAAGGCTCGTTTGATTGGTTTAGAGAAATCATGAACGAAATCGCTGATTCAGATATAAAGGTAAAAATACACATATTCACATATTCAAGAGATTCTGTATAGTTAAGTTAACTAATAACTACTAACATGTTTGTCTTGTAAACAAATGAAAGGGTGTTATTGAGATGCACAACTACTTGACGAGTGTGTACGACGAAGGAGATGCTCGATCCACTCTTCTCACCATGATCCAGACGCTAAACCACGCCAAAAATGGCGTCGACATATTTTCTGGAACTAAGGCAATGAATAATCTTTAACGATTACATTTATCTTATACAAACAACAGTACGTTTTCTGATCTTGTACTCCCTTTTTGGTTGTTTTAGCTACGGACACATTTTGGGAGGCCAAAATGGAAGAAGGTGTTGTCAAAGATCAGCACCAAACATAAGAACGCAAGAATCGGTAAAACAAAACGAAAATCACTTTTAACAATTGATCGTGGTCTGTATTTGCCTTGTCTTAAGGATGTTAATTTGGAAAAAAAAAAACAGGAGTGTTCTATTGTGGAGGACCGAGTTTGGGGAAGGAGCTTTCAACACTCTGCCATGAGTTTAACCAGACGGGATGTTCCAGGTTCGAGTTCCACAAAGAACATTTTTAATGGTAAAAATAATAGTCTCCCCACGATCAACTTTCATGTATATCCTTGTTGTTGTTTTGCTTTTCCTTTTGTGTATCACATATGCTAACTTTTAACCACTTCATCTAGAGTAGGACTGTTACAAATACTAAAAATCACAGCTAAAGCTTGCGAGAAAGAGTTTTTAAAAGAGAAGTTTACACACAAGAATGTAAACCTTTTGTTGTTGTTGGTAATCTCAATATTTTGATCATGTAAAATTACACTCTTTTACTGCATTTTGGTCAACATTTTGTGTTAAATGAATTGTTTTAAATTCGGCCTTCTTTAGTATGCAACCGAAATGATTGAACAAAGTTGAGCAATCAATTTAACAATTTGGAAGTCCTTGTGGCGGCATCCAACGAGATATTCTTTCAAGAGTTTAGGCAAATGACCAAATAAACCTCGTTAGACCAACCCGGTCTTCCATGTATTTGGAGTAAACCACGACAATACCAACTCTTTTAATCAGTTTGTCGGATCAATTCGGTACGTCCTTATATTCAGTTTAACCAACTCTTTTAATCAGTTTAATAACATAAGGTAGGCAAGAATTGTGATTTAACATAAACTTTTTATTTTCCGGATCAATTCGGTACGTCCTTAAAAGAGCTTAAATCAATCAAGGCCATACCAAAGATAGTCTTCTTCAATAACTCTACCCCAAATCCATTATCAAGAGGTCCAAGACTTCAGAATCTCAGTATTATCACTACTTATATTTTTTTCCTTCTAGTAAAGTTATATTGATTCAATCATTATTCGGGTTCACAAACGAGTCCATCTTTTGTCTTATGTGCTAGTGTGATTCGTTTATGAATCTTGTTCTTCACACCCTCAAGCAAGTACGAAACATAATTTTGAACATACACTTGGATTATTAATTCAAATTTGAAAAACAGAGACTCATTACGAGCTCAAACACCAAGGTTCACCACAAAAAGATAATAATGAAAACATAAAACGAAACACAAATCTTTTTTTGCAGACTAGAACACAGAAATCAACTACCAAGTGCAGAGGCTCGAATAACACATTTTTTCCCACAGCTCATAAGTCTCCACCACGAAGACGAAGAACCAAGTGAAGAGTCGACTCCTTGAGGATGTTGAAGATACAAACAAGAGTCGATTCCCTCTTTGTCTTGAATCTTTGCTTTGACGTTGCTTTGGCTCATCCTCTAGCTGCTTCCCGGCGAATATTGATGGTCCGGAGGAATCCCCTCCTTGTCCTTGACCTTAGCCTTGACATTGTCGATCGTGTCAGAGCCTCGACATCGAGAGTGATGGTCTTGCCAGTGCGCGATCTCACGAATATTTGCATCTGGAAACAAGAAAGCAAAAGTCGAAATTGATCAAATAAAGAAATCAAAACCACAACGAAGAAAACGGATGTTAACACACAAGTTGAATATATCAAGCAAATCAACCAAAAAATTGAACAGGTCGTTCTCGAAACCCTAGTTTTGTATATCTAAACGATGTATATCTCAGACTACTAACAGAGATATTAGGTATTCGAAACAAGAGGTTAAGAGAACCCAAGTACCTTGAAGATATTTGTTTAGCTCATTAGGCCCATATTTCATTTTAAGTCTTTTCGTCGTCATTTTTCTTTTCTACTATTTCATGTCTACCTTATGTTATCTTATTACCTCGCTGTCAAATTACTTCTTCACTTGCCGACCAAAAATAACAAAAATGCTTCTTCACTTTCTATACCTTATTTTATAAACACGTCTATAACCTTTTTGATAAAAAGTAATTAGACGGTTCCTACTTCGATTTTTATGCATTTAATTTATTGCGAAAAAGTCAATAATTAATTTATCATTGTCTCTTGACGCAGACCGAGAGAGCATGAATCACCTAAGCGAATGGCTCTTATTCTACAACGTGTCAGAAGATCGATGGCACGACCGTGTCGTTGTCCTGCCGTCTGACACCTGTCCGCTACAGAACAACCAGACATTTTGAAAAGTTATTTGATGACGGAGCCGTTTAATGAACGTGGCATTCTTAACGGAGAATTTGAATGCTTCAGAAGCCGTTAACTATGACGGCGTTAAAATATCGGTCCTATGAAAACACGAAATGTTTTATGTGCCCACTACCAAGCGTCGCTCTAGTTAAGAAGCAGGTTGCAACCAACGGCTCAGATCAAACCATTCATTCGACGGCTCAGATTGAGTTTAGTTTTCGTCCTTCTATTTTAGGCTTCCTTCGAGATCTTTCTCTCATCAGAGGTTGAAGAAAGCGCTTAGAAGAAAAATACTTGTCGTTGATTTTGTTAATTCGTTCTTCTCTTCGAAATCGGAAGCTAACAATCTGTACGAATCGATCGGAAACAATGGCGGAAGAACATAAACACGAGGAGTCTCTGCCTAATTTGGACCCGGCGGTTGAAGTTGTAGAGAGGGAATCGTTGATGGAGAAGTTATCGGAGAAGATCCATCACAAAGGTGACTCGTCTTCATCGTCATCATCATCATCAGATGACGAAAATGAGAAGAAATCTTCCTCTCCATCGTCTCTGAAATCGAAGGTTTACCGTTTGTTCGGCAGAGAGAGACCCGTGCATAAGGTTCTCGGCGGCGGAAAACGTACGTTTACGCCAATCTCTTATTCCAGATTTTTCTTCGATTTTTGTTTGCTGTTGCATGTTCTCTTTTGAATTTTCCTGGATTTTGATTCGTCGCTGGTTACAGTTTGATGCTTCGTTTTTAACGATCGGTGGTTTTTTTCTGGTGATGTGTAACTTTGAATCATCATAGATGTTTAACGAGATCCTTGCATTTGCTTAGAATTTGTATAAATCTCTTAGCGTATATCGTTAATCCGGATCCAATTTATAGATTAGTTTATTGACTAGTTTGAGCATTGAAAATGGAATTGTATTAATGATCGTCTCTGATTCTTTAAGTAATGATGATCAGATTCTGGATTTGTAAACCCTAATTTGGTGATCTTGCAAAATTGCAGCGGCGGATATATTCATGTGGAAGGACAAGAAGATGTCAGGTGGTGTATTTGGTGGTGCTACAGCAGCTTGGGTGGTATTTGAATTGATGGAGTATCATCTTCTTACTCTGCTATGTCACGCTTTGATCGTTCTTCTTGCTGTGCTATTCATATGGTCTAATGCAACCATGTTCATTCACAAGTAAGTTCGTGTTAACTTAATCCCTATGAAAAGCTGCTTGCTTGCTTCACATCTTGGGTTAAAGCTTATGTGTATGTTCATTCTCTCTTTCAGGTCTCCACCAAAGATTCCTGAAGTTCATATCCCTGAAGAGCCTCTTCTTCAGCTTGCTTCTGGGCTTAGGATTGAAATCAACCGTGGGTTTTCTTCTCTTCGTGAGATTGCGTCTGGAAGGGATCTCAAGAAATTCCTCTCTGTAAGTTTAAGCATTCCATGACTTCTCCTCGCTCTCAGTGTCTGATCTTTAAGATTGACTATAATTTCACTGTTTGGAATTAATAAGGCTATCGCTGGATTATGGGTTCTATCGATCTTGGGAGGCTGCTGTAGTTTCTTGACGTTGGCATACATAGGTAATGATTAAACTGCTAAAAGTATTTGCTTCTTTCTTCTCTTAACAGATCTCTCATGTTGATGCGCCGATATGGTTCTTGATTGATCTATAGGTGTGGTTCTGCTCTTCACTGTTCCTCTTATCTACGACAAATACGAAGACAAAATAGACCCGTATGGTGAGAAAGCAATGGCTGAGTTGAGAAAGCAGTACGCTGTTTTAGACGAAAAGGTATTGAGCAAAATCCCAAAGGGGCCATTGAAGAATAAGAAGAAGGATTAGGGCTTTTGTGTTCTTTTTGAGTGCAACGTGAGCACAATGTTCGAGCTTTTATAAATTGTGGGTTGTGTTGTGAAATGGTAATCCAAAAAGTTGTGTTAGATCTCATCTCGTTTCTCTGAAAATTTTACTTGACAACTTCTGTATTGTTTTTTTTTGGTGTTGTGGCGTGAGGACAAAACTTGTACTTGTTCTCTTGCATCTATATGTAAGTATGTTGTTCATGATTGAATGTACCGAATTTTCTGATTTTGTTTTGCGTATTTGTGTGTAGTTGCCTTGTTGGTTATTAGAGATATGTATAATATAAGTAAGTAAGTAAGTAGTTAGTTCAACAAAGTCAGGATGGCCGAGTGGTCTAAGGCGCCAGACTCAAGTTCTGGTCCTCGTAAGAGGGCGTGGGTTCAAACCCCACTTCTGACATTTTAATTTTTTTTCCGGTTTTCCCAATCTTATTACCATCAATTCCCTCCTTAACATCAATTACTGTACTGGGCTTTTAATAACATGGCCGACAAAAATAAAATTCGTATCATAACATTAGTATGATATAGTTAAGAGCCATTACATAGATTAGATTAGTGGGCTCAACCGCTAGGGATAAGTCTCATGCACTTCCTTCAAATACATGGCAGTTTAGAAATGTTTCTGTTTTTTTTGAAAGATTGTACAATGCTCAAGTTACCACAAGATAAAAAGTCTGAAACACCAGTTGAACAATTAGAAGAAGAAGAAAAACACCCACTACACAACTTTGTTCTTTATATTTGGTCACACTAAAAAAAAAAAGGTAAATTATACAACAAAACTGGAAAATGGAAAATCATCAATTTCTGAATTATAGAGGAAAAGAAACACCGTTTAAACAAATTCAAAGGCCATAACTCCTTGATTTGGATAGTAAAATACAACCAGATCGACAAACAACTTGAATAAACAAGAACTTTAATGGAAAAGTTTAAAAAATAACAACAACAAAAAACCTAAATAGTAGAGAGAAGGAGCCGATATAACACCTAGGTAGGTTCGAAGAGGATCGAGCCCATCCGCCGTTCCATGACTTGCCGGTTCAACCCCACCGCTTTAACCGGATTCGGTTACAGAATCATAACCACCGGTTATGCAAGTGCAGGGAGTGAACATTGTATTCCTAAGCTATTTGGTGAAAACCCATCCGGTACCACCTAGAAGCTTCCATGGAAGCTCAGCTTAAGCTCCCCATTTGGAATCAACCTTGGACCTTTTGTGTCTGATCCAAATTTAGGGAGATCTTGGTTAAACTTCCATGGCTTCAAATGGGGAGAGAGAGTTTTTGTCTTTCTCCTCCTTGTCTTTATATAGCATAATTCCTTAATTACTTTGACGGTGAAAGAGAGAGAAACTAACACCCAAAATATTACTTCGGGGCCATTCGATTATCATAGATTCAAAAGCATTGATAAACGAATGCTTTTGAGTTTTGATGTAAGAATAAAATAAAAAAATTGCTACTAAAAATAATTAAACACCTTTTATTTTCAACTTTCAACTTTTAAGCGTCTTCTTGCTTTTCTACTTCTCGAATCCAATCATCTAAATATCTTATTATATAAAGCTGGATGTGCGCGATGTGGTTGCGACACGTAGGATTTTTATAAAATATAGGATTGCGACATGTGTCACTTTTAAGATTATGACCGTTAAAATCATGACACATGTATTAGGGGAAAAAAGATTTTTTTAAAAAAAAACTAGAAAAAGGATAATTAAAAAAAAACGAAATTTAATCTAAAATATTAAAAAAAAAGAAAAAATTAATATTTGTTATATACTAACAGAAAAGGTTTTCCCATTCATCAAATTTATATTATCCAAACACATATAAAAAAGGAAAAATTAATATTTGTCATTCCTAATAGAAAAAGATTTTTCATTCATCAAATTTATATTAACACATATTAAATTAAAAATAATGTGATAAATAAAATCCTATAAGATTTTTATAACTCATATAGGATCATGTGTTTTTTATAATTCTAAAAATATTAAGATCGTGACATGTGCCATGAAAAAGTTAACATGTATAAGAACAACAAAAAATAAGAAAAGGAAAAAGAAAAAATATATTCTCATTAAGAAAAGGAAAAAAAATCGAAAATCAGGAAAAATTTTTTTTTTAAAAATTTACATCCATTATGAAAAGGAAAAGTAAAACATATTCTCAATACAAAAAGGAAAAAATCCAATATATAGTGAGCTATAGCCTTCATGATTTAACTGTGTGTTTCTATCTTTTATTTAAACTTCTCTCATTAAAAAATAAAAAAATAAGGTGTTTAAAAATTCATGATATTAAGAATATTTAACTCTAGATCAGTTAGATCCAAATCGAAATTATTGTTGCTACTTATGTTTGATATTTGATCAGATGTAGTCATGTGTTAACACAAGAAAATTAGAAAAATGTATAAAATAAATAAAAAAACTAACAAAGTAATTGGAAAACAACTAAGTAATAATGAAAAGAAAATTTATAATGGTCTGAGGCAAAAACAAAATTAAAAAAGAAACAATATAAATAGAAAACTAACAAAATAGTTATCAAGCAACTAAGTGATACTCCCTCCGTTTCTTTTTACTTGTCGTTCTAGAGATTTTCACACATATTAAAAAACTCATTAAATTTGCTATTTGACCATTATTTAATACTTAGTTTTCTTCGATAGGAATAATCAATAAGCTAAAAAGCTGAGGATAAAATTGGAAAATATATCATTAATCTACATTGGAAATACAAAACGACAAGTAATATGAAAAAAAAATTCTCTCTAGAATGACAAGTAATATGAAACGGAGGGAGTATTAAAAAGAAAAAATTATAATGAACTGATATTCTAACTTTAATAGTTTGATTTTTCAATATTTTATTTTAGGTAAAATAATATTAAAAAATTGATTTCATTGTAATAATAAAAGTTTCACAAATTAATCAATCATGTGTAAGTCTTTCTATTTTAGATATAAATAAAAAGATAACAAATTAACTTATTTATATTATTATGAAGTCAGAAAAATATATCTATTATAACAAAAATGTAAAAAGTTTACCAATCTAATTTTATTTAAAGATTTATTATCGGGTTTTGAATATTAGTCTACTTACTTTTGAAATGTCAAATGTTATTTAATATTATTTCATAATTATTTCAAAAATTGTATAATAAACCCACTTATACGCGGGGCATAATCTAGTTATACCTATATCTAATTATTCTTTAAATCATAATAGAATATCGGAGACATTATGGCCCGCAATTTATTTGAATTGGAGGCAATTTATGGTCATGATGACGGGTAAATAGTTATTGTTGTTGAGATTTGAACTTGAGGATTGGCTGTTCTGTCTAGCTAATCTTCCAGCTAATAATAACAATATTTTTTTGTTAAAGAATAGCTATTAATTTTAAGAACCTTATTTTATAAATAACAAAACTCCAACAATGAAAATACCAAAATGATTTTTTTTCATTAATAAGAAAATGACATATAAAAGAAAGTTGAATATCCTTTCTTTGTTACCTTTTTGATTAAAAACCCATTTTTTGTTCTTTAACGACGTGTAACTTTTTGTTTTTAAGAGAGGACTGAGTTAACTGACAGAAATAGTACACCTGACTAGTTTGCCACCAATTATGCCCACGCACTCTCCAATCTACCGCTTCTGTTACAATTATTGGCGGGTAATAATGTTAAGGAACACCTTATTTACCTACTACACAAGTATTTACAATTATTAATCTAGAGTGCAAAAACCAATCAAAAAGGTCAAAATAAATTACTATTTACAATTATTAATAAAGTCCAGAGTGCGTGCGAGGGACCCATGTGCACTACCAATCTCTTTAATTATGGTGGCTCAACTGCTATTTGTCTATTTTCAATTGGCCAATCCTCTTTTAAATACTTTATTTTGTAGTTTCATATTTTGTTTTGTATATATGGCCTGACTACACGTCCACTAAGCCACACTTGGCTTCTAGAGAGCATGTGAAAAGCATAAAGTATTTTTACAGAATTTTACTATTAGTTTTGCTGCAACATAATAAGAAATCATTTACAAAAGAAAAAAAGATTAATAATGAGAAATCAGTCACTTCACTTGTATATTTTGTCCTTTATATTTGTCACCCATTTGTTTGTCTCGTAACGCATAAGACAGTTTCACTTAAAACGTCAGTTTAAGTGGCTCCGATAATGGATGGTGTTTCGCTGCCCCATCGCTGGATGGTATAGGGGAGAGGGGGACAATCTTGTATTTGTCTCGCTGCCCCATCTCATATTGTTTCCATGCACACACCTTTATTTCCTTCTGATTTGTTGAATCGATGACAATCTCTACGTTAGTTCTCTTTTCAAGAAGAATTTTTTATATTATTATTATTATTTCAGACTCAGTTACAAACAAAAAAAAAAAAATTATTATGAGAAAAATAAAATCTTAGAAACAAAAGAGTGGGACATGTCAATAAACCAATCAATGGAATCCTACCATTGGTTGGTAGTGGTTGCAGCCGGACCCTCATTTAAGTCTTTGTAATGACTAATGAGTAAAGATGATAAAATGAGATGATTCTGTTCACTTCTGCCTAATCCGATTCTGGTAGGTACTCATGCAAATTTACTCTTGTTTTTTTTAGGATTTAAATATTAATGTGGAACGATAGGTTGTTAACCACAGAAAAAACAAAATATGTATATATACATACATATATATAGATAAAGGAAAAAATGTTGCATTAGTTGGTATAATAGTCCGGTCTTGACAAAGCTAGTTCTATATATATGGACGGATATGTGTCTGCGAAACTAACACTCGCATACGAAACTTCGCATACGAAACTAACATTTTAGATACAAAATTTTTGGTGTAGGATCTCACCAATGATCAGGTCATATCAAGGATCTAATCAAGAGCACATCACATGGCATAGTCAATGAGATTTGAAGTTAGCTAATAAAACAGTCAAATCCAGGACTTTAATACGGATAATGCCTTAAATGGAGCTAAAAATGACAGGGAGGAGAGGACTATAAGAAGAGAAGACGATCACCTGAGCAGTGACATATGTCTTTCTAAATTTTTGAAATGTTTATATTGTTCAAAAATTAGTAATAGACACGTTCTTTTCCTTACTGATTGATCTTTTTTTTGTTCCCATTTGATTTCGTATCATTCATCAAAGTTTAGCAGCCTCGACACATATTTGTTCCATATCCTTTTTATGAACGTGGACTCTACATTGGGATTCGGTTTGAGATGAGGTGATCAGAGTCATTCATCTGAGGGAGTACTGTATATGGAGGATCCAACATATGAAACTCCTTCGAGATTACCTAATGGCCAATAGTTTGATTTTATTGTCTTCTCCACTGAAATCACTATTAGTATTTCTTGCTTAATTTACTTGATGTACATTCTCGTTGTCTTAAATTATACCTATTGTACATCAAGTTGTTCAAAAAAATCACTATTATAGTAGTGATTGTTTTTGATTTGAGATTACCATGTACATCAAGTATGTAGTTTAGAACAACCATTATTAAACCACTGAAAATCACCCTAGTAGTATACGTTGATCCTTTGATAATAGTTTGGTCCTCGTGGATATAATCTAACATTGTTACCGCACATTTCGTCGTGCATTTCTAGTTAAATTAACATATTAAAACTCAAGCTATCAAATTTGGTAAAGTCTGAAAAAATTAAGATATCAATTCAAAACAGAGCCTTGCTTAGGACGAGTTCATCAGCCTTAGGCGTACATGTGTTTTTTCTTTTTATTTAAGGCCTTATCAGTATGTTTATAATTCGGTAAACAAAACACAAGACTATTTATTTAAAAACTTGTTACCAACAAATTACAACACGATTTTGTGGTAACTTGAAGCAACATTACATGGAATGCAGTATTAAAATGTCAACACACAAACATCGAAGCCAAACGAAGAAACACACACATATATTAGTTATAACATTCGTAGAGTTTAATATCCATTTTGAGACGGAAATACTTTTGGCCTTGAATGAGATCAGTCGAGAACGTACAAACCCCACGAGTCATGATGAAGTCACCAGTCCCACCAATGATCGCTAGGTCTCTTGTCGGCTGCGTCATTGCATTCGCATCCATTATGGTGAACGTTCCTTTGTGTTGCGTGGAGTTGAACACCAATGTGCAAGCGACCCACGTGTTGTAAGTTGTCTTCTGGTTGTAAAAGAAGAAGCCTTGGGCATGAGCCACTGGTTCTGAAAGGAAGTTCTCGTCCATTGTGACAGGGTTATTAAAGATAACAATCTTTCCGAAGTCGAAGGTCCCTAGTCCTAAAGGGTTTACGACTGTTGAAGACGTGGCATTAGCTGCGTTATCAGCATCGTAGGCAACGTTGTGGATATGGAGGACGAAATGTTTGCATGGTTTTTTCAGGTTGATTCGGGTCGATGAGACGGTATCAGAGAGGACTAAAACGAATAGAAAGAAGGACAATAGGGTTTTGAATATTTGTTTGGGGATTTGATGTGCCATGGTTATGAAGTTTAGACTGTTTAGTAGAAAGGAGTAGTGATGTTGAACTGTGGTTATGGAGAGAGCAATTGAAACCTTAATTTATACATGTACATAATTCATATTTTATTTTGGTATATAAAAATGGGTATGAGAGGCCAATATTAAATTTGTTAATTGTTATGTTAATATTTTTCGTTTTCCAGCTATAAAGACCGATCATGCGGGGAATACGATAAACTAGGAATGGCGAAACTAATATTTCTCCTACACTTATTGAACAGAAAATTAAAAGAAACTCTGCCATACGCAGCCTTTTCTAAAAAAAAACATGAGAAACATTGGCTTTATGAACATGGGTGGAGTTGGTTTTGGTATCACATTCTCGACTTGTAGTGGTAGGTAATCACTTGTGTGCCTCTACTAATATAATGGTTTGCTACACTTAACTAAAACCCAGTTGCACATTCCAACTAAAAGGATATTATTTGTTTAACCGTACTAACAATAGAGTATTGCATGGTGGCAAAGTGGCTTGCATGAAACAGAAAAAGCATATTACAATGTTTAGAGATGATCAATTTTCTTCTCTTTTTCTGAATGTAAGCGAAGCTTTCACCAAATCGAATTATATATACACACAAAGACCAACACATTCAAGTATTGAAAATTTTCATTCTTAAATTTGACTTTTGTAAATAAACTAAATCTTAGTATAAATTAAAGTATAATATATATGATGTATCAATCAGAAACTGAATTAAATTTGGTTTTCTATTTTTTCAACCAAAAAAATCCTAAATTCAAAATAGTTGAACTGGAAATTGGATCTGAACAATCATACACATGAAAGGTCCGTCGTTGATATCAGATGACTTTCTTGCTTTGCCTGTTAAGTAAGATTTCTAACAGCCCTACATATAAGATTTGCTTCCCTACACCACACTTCATACATGTCAATGAGTAAAAAGAACAAAAAACCAAAGTAGAATGTTTAATTATTATTGTAGTAGGTGTACCATGACATGTATACTTATATATTTTAATCTTGGTGACGAAAAGAGATCTCCTTTAAATGATTCTCTTTATTGTTTTACATGCAAGGAAAATAGTATAATTCAGTATGAGCTAAAGAGTAAACACAGCATAAAATATTTTTTTTTATTTTGGTACGGTTGGCAAAATAAAAGTTTTTAACTGCAATTATATATTGAGCTAAGATCAGCTTCCGGTTGGTTTAATTAAAACAATTTACGGAGATTTTGGTTTTTAGAGGCCTTTTTATATTTTAAAAAGGGAGCAGTAGGGTTATGAATATGTGATTTGTCATACTGAGAGACTTTAGTAGAAGTGTTATTTATCTGTGAATCTGCAATGTTTTTTTTTTTTTTTTTTTTTTTTTGTTGTAAAACAAGCATTGTTAAAGTATGGAGAAACTTCTAATTGTCCTTCTTTTTATTCGTATCACTCCTTCTCTCTCGTATGGTTTCATCGATCCAAAAAGCATTCGACCTAGAAAACCGCTGCAAGCATTTTGTTATTTACTACGATGGTGACTAATGCCCTATCAACAGAAACGTAACTGCGTATCCTTTAGGGACTAGAGAACTTCAGTTTCGGGCAATTTGTGATATAGTGACAATGGACCATAACCACTTCTTGAAACTAGTTGCTCGTGCCCAAGACTTCTTGTTCTACAACATCAAAACGAATTCTTAACGCATACAAAAGAAGAAAAACTTGAAACGGATTAAAAATTTACAAGATGCGGTTTACTTGTAAATTGGTAATCAGTTTGAAGTACCACCAGGTCCACCACAAAGACATACTGCGGTATTAAACCATTTCGGGACACGTTCATGGGGATCGTGCCCTATTGGAATATCTCTTCTGAAGCATTTTTTCAATATTTATTATTTTATTGTGATGCACCATCGATAATTTGAAATCTTTCAATATTATGGGTCGGACTTAAAAAAAAGAAACAAAAGAAACTTGAATAATCTGTCGTTTACTAGTATAAACAACATATTGTTTACGATATATGATATCTTGTCGATGTTGGTGTACAACTTGGTAAACAAAACACAAGAGTGACATTTTATTATTAAACGTTACAAACAGATTACAATACCATTATGTGGTAATTTGAAACAACGATATACTACACACGTATATAGAAAGCAACAAAAACTCAACACACAAACATCAAATATTGCAAGTCATATATATTAGTAACATTCATAGAGTTTAATATCCATTCAATGTGCAAGCGACCCACGTGTTGTAAGTTGACTTCTTGTTGTAAAAGAAGAAGCCTTGGGCACGAGCCACTGGTTCGGAAAGGAAGTTCTCGTCCATTGTGACAGGGTTATCAAATATAACAATCTTTCCGAAATCGAAGGTCCCTAGTCCTAAAGGGTTTACGACTGTTGATGACGTGGCATTAGCGGCGTTATCGCTATCATAGGCAACGTTATGGATATGGAGGATGAAATGTTTGCATGGTTTTTTCAGGTTGATTCGGACCGATGAGACGGTATCAGAGAGGAGCAAAACGAATAGGAAGAAGAACAATAGGGTTTTGGAGATTTGATGTGCCATAGTTATGATGCGTAGAAACTAGTAGTGATGTTGAATTGTGGAGATGAAGAGAGCTGTTAAACCTTATTTATACACAAGTCTTTTTTTTTTGAGAAAATTAATATTTTAGTTTACTTTGGTATATAAAATTGGGTTTGAAAGGCGCAAATATATAACCTGGTTTGCTGATATTTCTTTTCGTTCGATCATGTGGTGGTGGGCTTGTGGTTAGTGGCGAATCTACTTAGCCTAATAAGGTGTCTAAAATTAGGAGTGTTTATCTTTTTCAATATAGAAGATAAGTCTGAAATTTGGTTCTGACCTGCTCGATAACTTCATTCATCATGAGAAAAGTAGTAGAATGGTAAAAGTCAAGATGCACTTATAAAAAAAAAACAAAAAAGATCCATCGAGGAACACGAGAAACTAGTAATGGTGTAACTATTAGGCTTAACTATTATTTATCTTACATTTATTGAAAAATAAACCTTGCCTTGCGCAAGCCCTAATTAAAAAACATGAGAAACATTGGATTTATGCATATTTTCAACGCGGTTGGTAATCTCTTGTATGCCTTAAACTAATAGCTAAACTAACTAAAACCCAGTGACACATTCCAACTAAAAAATGATCAATTTGCTTCTTTTTTTTTGTATGTAAACGAAGGTTAATCAAACCGTATGGCGAATAGTCGGCACAAAGACCAACACTTTAATTTATTAAAAAACTGTTAGTCTAAAATAATATATTGCTAATTAACAACTAATTAACCCTAATATAAAGTAAACCATATCAAACAAAACTGAACTGTATTTTTGTTTCTGTTTTATAAACCAAAAATGAAGTTAAAAAAAAACAGAACAATCACACACATGTAAGGTCCTTCGTGTAAATCATATGATTTTCTTGATTTGCCTTTTAGGATTGTTTACAGCCTTGCATGTATTTGCTCAAGCCATTTAATTTCCTTTTAGGAATATTTAAGTAACAAAGAACAATGTAGTCCCTACATTACTACACTTAACAATGTATTGATTAAGAACAAAAAAGTAGAAAGTTTAAATATTGAAGTCGGTATCCGATGACATGTATACTTAGAAAAAACATATACTTTAATCTTGGTGATGAAAAGAGATCTCGACATGTTTTCTCTTTATTTCTTTACATGTAAGGCAAATATAATTCAATGTTGAAGAAGAAAAAGCCTTGTGCAGAGCCACTGGTTGCGAGAGGTAGTCATCGTCCATTGTCACGGGATTGTTAAAGATCAGAAACTTCCCGAAATTGAAGTTCTTTAGTCCTATAGGGTTCGTGATTGCTGCTGACGTGGAGAGGTAGTTCTGGTCCATCGTCACAGGGTTGTCAAAGATTACAACCTTACCGAAATTGAAGTTTCCTAGTCCTAAGGATTCACGACTGTTGCTGACGTGGCATTAGCCGCGTTATCACTATCGTAGGCAATTTAATTTGTGTTGGTAGAAGACGAAACGCTTTCAAGGTTTTTCCAAGTTGAATGATCTTTGGATCGATGAAACTGTATGAGAGAGTAGTAGTAGTATTATTAATGAGAAGAAGGAGCATATTTGGTTGTAATTTGATTTGCCATTTTTAGACGAGTTTAGTAGAAATTGAATAGTGTAGTGTTGATTTGTGGATATAAAGAGAGGTTTGAAAACTTATTTATACTAGGTGGTTCGCCCGCGACCCGCGCGGGCATGAGATTTTTTAAAATGACAATTGTTTGTAATAATAATAATATTAGATCATTTTAAAAATATTATTTTCTTTTTAATATTTTTGTCATTTAATTTTATTTTCTGTTTTAAAATTATGTTTCATAATCTTGAATTTATGAAATCGAATTAACTCATATAAATAATATTAAAATGTCTCTGAACACATTGACTATATTCATTGTGAATTTAAACGATGCTGTAATTCCAGAAATTTTAGTTTGAAAACTATTAGACAAATATATATTTGCTATATATGTTTATTTGTATGTAAAAATTCTACTTGCATGATTTCCATCAATTGATTAACTTCCGGGATCTTTGATAGATCTTGTCATAATATTTGCTAACCTAAAACTCTTGAATTTAGATGGTTGTTGGCTCTGGTCTCTAGTTGTTGGCCCGCGCCGGCGCGGGCAACAGATGTTTCAGAACTACAATCATTTCAATTAATATCAAATTAACGCATTTTCTTTTTAATTACTTTTCATATTTGTAATATGTTTATTTTCCAAGGAAGTAATAGCTTAACATTTTGTTAATTTGATATGAATTTATAAATCGTGAAAGTACAAAAAATTAGTTAAATTTTGTAATAGTTTTTTTCTTTTCCCTCTTATTATTTTTCTCTAATCCCATTTTTTTTTTCATTTTATTATTTGTTGTCATCATCTTTTTTTTTCTGCTTCCTCTTTTTCTAATTTTTGTTCTTCAATCGTTTCTTTTCTTGTGTCTTCATATCCTCTAATTTACATTCTTCTTTTTCTTTCCAATTTTCTTTATATTCTTTTTCCGGTTTTTCTTCTTTCTCATTCCCCCTCTTTATCTAACTTTATCGTCTTCGTCTTCTTAGACACCATCTTCATCTAGTTTTTATTTATCTCTTATTTGTCTTTTTTTCTCTTGACATTTCATTTTTTCTTCTTTGTTTTCTTGTTCCTCTTCGAGTTTTCTTCTTCTTCTTGAAATTTCTCATATTCTTTTCCACCATGTTCTTTTATTCTACTCATGTTTTTATTCCTTCTTATCAATTCATTCGATAGTATAGATCTTTTAAAAATCTATTTAAGTTGTGTTGTTATCTTTTGATTATGGATTTGCTGTAATTGTTTTTTTTCTTCTATTTGTGAATTTATTTTAGAATGGTGATATAAATTTATAATCAGTGATTTTTAATTTTCATATACTTCTATAATAATTTTTTTTTTTAAAATGCACCTAAAACTAAACCCTACATCCATCAACATAAACCCTAAACCCAAACCCCAGATTATAACCCCTCCCACACCCTAAACCCCCCCCCCCCTCCCCTAAAAGAACATACACCCTAAACCCAAACCCCACATTATAACCCAAATCCCAACATAAACCGTAAACCCCCCTCCCCCCAACCACCCCCTCCCTCTAATAAAAGAACATACACCCTAAACCTAAATCCACATTATAACTCCCACTAAAACGCACACCTAAACCTCACATTATAAATTAGTTTTAAAATTGCTTTTATTTTTATTTTATTTATAAAAGTTTTTTTGTAACGGTTGTTTTTTCTCCTTTTTCTTCTCTGGTGATCCCATCTTCCTTTTTTTCTTCCATTTTTTATTCGTTTTCATCATTTTTTTTTCTGCTTTTTCTTCTTCTTCTTCTTCTTCTTCTAATTTTTGTTCTACAATCGATTCTTGTATCTCCATATCCTCCAACTCACTATTCTTATTTTTCTTTCTAATTTTCTTTACATTCTATTTATGGTTTTTCTTCTTCCTCATTCCCCCTCTCTCTATCTTTATCATCTTCGTCTTCTCTAACATCATCTTATTATAAATTTTATATATCTCGTCTTTGTCTTTTTTTCCTTCACATTCCATTTTTTCTTCTATGATTTTTTTTTCCTTCGTGTTCAAATTTTCTTCTTCCTCTCGAAGTTTCCCATCTTATATTCCATCATCTCGAAGTTTCCGATCTTATATTCCATCGTCTTCTTTTCTCTTAATCATATTTTCGTTCTTGTCTACGTTTTGTATTTCACTTATCATTTCTCTTGATAGTCTAGCTTTTGTTAATTCACGAATTCAATAACTATTAGATTAACACATTTTCCTTTTAATTACTTTTCATATTTTTTTATTTCTAAGGAAGTAATAGTTTAACATCTAGTTAATTTGATTGTGAAAGCACAAAAAAAAAAATAGTTAAATTTTGTAATAGTTGTTTTCTTCTCTCTCTTATTCTTTTCCTGTGATCCCATCTTTTTTTTTCTTCTATTTTTTATTCGTTGTTATCATCTTTTTTTCTGCTTTTTCTTTTTCCAATTTTTGTCCTTCAATCGTTTATTGTGTTTTCATATCCTCCAACTTACTATTTTTCTTTACATTCTTTTTCCGGTTTTTGTTCTTTGTCACTCCCCCTCTCTCTCTCTACTTTTATAGTCTTCGTCTTCTCTGACATCATTTTATTCTAGTTTTTATTTACCTCTTGTTTGACTTTTTTCTCTTCACATTTCAATTTTTCTTCTTCCTTTTCGAGTTTTCTTATTCTTCTCAAAGTTTATCATCTTCATTTTCACCATCTTCTTTTGTTCTACAATTGTTTTTATTCCTTCTTATTTATGTCTTATATTCCACTTGTCAATTCATTCGATAATTTAGATTTTAAAGGATTCGTGAAATAGTTTTTTTTCTATATAGTCGAGATCTTTTAAAAATCTATTTAATTTGTGTTGTTATCTTTTGATTATGGATTTACTTTAATTGTTTTACTTTTTTATATTTGTGAGTGTATTTTAGAATGGTAGATATAAAATTTATAAACAATGGTTTTTAATTTTGATATACTTCTATAATAATTCAAATTTTTATAAATGCAACAGAAACTAAACCCTACACCCATCAATATAAACCCTAAACCCTAAACCCTAAACCTGAACCCAACATTATAATCCCCCTCCCCCTAATTAAAGAACTTACACACTAAACCCAAATCCACATTATAACTCCCTCTAAATCGCACATTTGAACCTCACATTACAAATTACTTCTGGATTTGCTTTTCTTTTTTATTATATTTATAATTTTTTTTGTAATAATTTTTTTCTTCTCATTTTTATTCTTCTTTAGTGATCCCATCTTCTTCGTTTTTCTTCCTTTTTTTATTCGTTGTCATCATCTTTTTCTTTCTTCTTCTTCCAATTTTTGTTGTTCAATCCTTTTCTTGTATTCATGTTCTCCACCTCACTGTGTCATTTGCCATCTTTACTTCTTTTTCTTTCTAATTTTATTTATAATCTATTTC